CCTCAGACCCTCCATCTCCTAATACCCCTCCTGATAGAACACCAACTCCCACACCTCTCCCATCTCAAACCTCTCAGTCCTTATCCCACCCTCTAGCTACTTCCCCTTCAAATTCTCCAACACGTACTACAATCTATATCACTAAATCAACGAAAGTATAACTATCCTTCATTGGAATATTCGCGGTTTCCGCTCCCACAGACCTGACCATCATATCCTTCCCTCTTATAACCCATCTATTGTATGCCTTCAAGAAACCTTTCTTATGCATACCCTTTATCTAATATAACACCCGACCTTAACCCTTTCACTCACTAATTCCTTTGCCCAGCTTAGACAACTAATCACTAACTCAACCACCCTTCACTAACATTAACTATAGTGCTACATGACCTTAGATGTCTAGCACATTTATCTTGCTTTTAACCATTAACCATTAACCATCGTTCTTGTCATGAGGAAAGAGCTAGCCCGCCCTTCAGTTCATAGTCGTTCACCCAGGTCAACACCATACTCGGCATCAGACTTCTGCAGCTAATCCAGACCACAAATTTCCTTTGCTTTGTCCAAAGAGAGTACTTACATAGTTCGGCATGTCCGGCACCCACGATACTTTATTCTTAAACAGTCTAACCTAGAATGGAAGACCAAAGCTGCCCAAACTATTCTCAACTTCAGTGTGTGGAACAATGATGCAATTAACATCCCAGAAGCAACACTTTCTGCACTATGGCATAGATCACATGTATATGTTCATAATGGCAAATTAACAGAGCCTAAATCCATGACTTAAGTAACAGAATTAAAAGGCCATTACCTGAAATGTATAGATCCCCCTTGTGGCACCTCCCATTTGCAGTTTGTTGTGATGCCGCTGCTGATCCTTGCGGAGCAGCAAGGATTGGTGTATTAATTCCTGACATTTCTCATAAATAAAGTGTACGAATTTCCTACTGGGCAAGCACAATTGATGCCGAGTCAGTAGCCGTATACCATGCCATCAAAAAAGATTCTCTGACAGCCAAGGTGCACTCTAAAGACTTACTGCATTTAGTCCAGGAAACTAGGAATACCCTACAGCCTGTCAGAGTAGGGTTTGCAAGTGCCACTATACTGGATACCCTCTCATTTAGAAATGTCAACCTGTGACAAGCAAAAGCAAGCAAAACTAGCACTTTACTGTGATGATCCATACTATGCAGTACCATTATCTCTTAAACAAATTAAAAAAAAACATGTGTTCAGCAGCCTTCGAGTTTATGAGGGCCAGGTATGGACCCCCGAAAAAAGGAAGAAAAATGGACATGGTACTATCTGGCATTATGAAAGCAATGTAGGGACATCTGATATGGACAAACCACACAAAGTCTATAATGGACTGTCTTGGAGAGAGCAGGTTACACTAACCAGGCTACGCATGGGATATCAGTACACTATACATTATGTACAGGAGGCAAAGTCAATCTCGTATCATTGCTGCAAAATGTGCAAGGCGCCCAAGTCGCATAATCTTACACATTACTCATCAGCATTTATTATATTCATTTTATTACAGACCCTGATCTTGTCTTTGATACGATTAGTAATAAAAAAAGGTTTTTTACCAACTAGATAATATGTGAATGATGTAAGCACAATGGCCCAGCCCTTCAGGCATGTATAACCAATGTTTTATTGACCGCCCTCTACAAAAAATAGAAGCACAGCCAGTTTGGACAGATGCAGGACATGCACACTGTTCTGTATTTTTTTCTTTTTATCAAATATCTCCCCTCTCCCTCTCCCTCTCCCTCTCCCTAATTACGTCGCACGGTTTCCAACATAAGAGCCAACGTAGCCAATGCGTCTTTCTCGCTCCGGGTATAACAAAAATATCATCTAACATTTCCTAGACTTAAGTGCAATAGGGGAAAGGTAGATATAGAGAAACGTGGAAATATTGGTGCATTATTCATCTCCAAAGAGGAACAATAACTAACAAAAACAGAAATCCACTTCATCTGTTAGAAATAAGAGGAGGGGTCGTCCTGGCATGGAATTACTGGCAACCATACGAAAAAAAAGTTCCCTCAAGCGTTGTAGCAAGTGCAACTAGCTTATCATACACAAACACATGCACGCGAACACACAAATACATGGGAGGAGGGGGAAGGGAAAGAGAGAGAAAAAGTGAGAATGAGAGTGAGAGAAAGAGAGAGAGCGAGAAAAAAGAGGAAAAGGGAGGGAGAGCGAGGAGAGTGAGAAAGAGCCGGAGACCGAGCGAGAGAGAGCGAGAAAGAGAGGGAGAGCGAGCGAGAGAGAGCGAGAAATAGAGGGAGCGAGAGCGAGAGAGTGAGAAAGAGACGGAGAGCGAGCGAGAGAGGGGGAGCGAAAGAGAGGGAGAGCGAAAGAGAGGGAGAGCGAGAGAGAGAGAGCGAGAGGGGGGATATCGACAAGGAATGGCGAAGCAAAAGCAACACCCACATAGCCACAGGGTCATAGTGGACGTCGGGTAAACCACGCCCACTGAAATCCTGCTACATCCAGTCCCCTCCTAAGACTCCAGAGGCAGCAGAGCAAGATATACCAATGGAGATTACAGCCATACACATTCGCAATCTTGCAACACACCACCTCAACCAAAACACTCACATGTCTGTACAACTACAGCAATGTTGCTCTCACACGCCTGCATAACCACAACACTTTTCACTCCACAATCACAGCCACAGCAACGTTGCACTGGTCCGCCATCACAGCTGCAACACCCACATATCAGTGTCAACCACCTCAGCCTCCACACTCTTAACAAACGGAACTCTAAGCCGAACTCTTTAAGCCGAACTGTAAAGCAAAGCGATTTATTGATATTCTTATCCAGGTTCTCCAGAGACAACAGACTCACTCCCTCACTAAAACAGTGGACACCTGCACACTAGCTGGCCTATGGATACCACACACACCAAGCCCACCAATTTTAGTCCTCATTCCAATTTTAGCAGAACCAGTAGCTCCACAAGGTGGCAGTACAGGAACGAGAGGACCAATGGCACAGCTGTGCTTCAAAACTGGTCTTCATGTCCAACCACTACAGGTGGAAATGAACTCTTTGTTCTTCAAGTTCTGGACAAACTTTCAAGAAGACTCTCTCTCGTGTGTGTTTGCTCTAGACCCCTGAACCCCTGATATTCCTCCAGCATCACCTCAACAGCTTGCTACATCAGCGCCTCAGTAAAGATATCATAATTGCCAGTGACCTGAACCACTACCTGGTGGCTAGATCAGTTGAGGTTCTGTTAAACCCTGGCCAGCACCTGGATTTTTCAACACACGTCAGTCATCACTTGATCCCATTATTTCCGACTACCCTGATGGCATGGTAATGTAGAAGATAGTGAGAGAAAGGGAAAAGGGTGAGAGAGAGAGAAAGAGTAAGAGGAATTGGGAAAGGGAGAGGGATAGGGAGAAGAGGAAGAAAGAGAAGGAAGAGAGGGGAGGAGAGGAATATAGGAGAAGAGAAAGGGAGGAAAGAGATAGAGCAGGGAAAAGGGGGGGGGGGGGGGAAGAGATTGCAATATCAATCTGTACCTATACATTATTAAATGACAATTTTGTATCAGAATTTTGGATTATAAACCAAACAACCAATCAGTTTTGATTATACATTTATTAGTATAAATAATACAACAATGTGATGTGGCTGTATTTATCATGAAATAGAAGTATCAAAAAAACACTGAATAATCATCAGAGACCATTCAAGTTTGTATGAAAATGGGAGTGCAATCCCCATTAATATTTTTTGTTACTAAACATTCCATAATCAAAAATCTTTCATTACTATAAGAAATCCAGATGATGACAATATTTTGCACATCATCATCATCCCATCAACATGATTCGACACACGCAAACCTATCAGTATAATCCGTTTTCTTTGGTAAAAGAGCACACTTGAGAAGAAAATAAAAATTCTAAAGTTCAGGACTTCAAATGAATGCGTCCACTTTGACACCAGAAAACACTATATTTTGCTGTGGAAGAGAGTTCATTTCCATTTTATTTATGTGTATTTCAAAGGAAAAGCAATCCTGAAACAGGTGTCACCCGTATTCTGCATCATTACTATCGGTAAAGAATGTCAAAATTCAGCATTAATAATATTTTTGCAAGTTAATGTCCCTCTCAAATTATCCCTTTTGCTATTATGAACTACAAAATTTCACATAAAAAAAAAAAAAAAAAAAAAAAAAAAAAAAAAGAGCTGGCACTGTTAGCCATCCTATTAAAAAATAATTATGAAATGGGTTTATCATATTTCACTGAACCAGACACTTCACACCAATTTTATTCAGATTCTCTACTTTCCTAATAAAAGTCAGTAAAACATATCCATACACACCAAATGGTGTGTTTTCTGATATCAAAATATAAGTACAACCCTAAAACAAAAAAATAGATATCTATCTTCTCAAAATCAATAAAATAATGAACAAACATCAAAAATTATCATGAGTGAAATCCTGTACAATTAACCTTGTAGAAATGTTGGTCATAGCAAGGTTGATGATGGTAGAAATAAGCAAATGACAGTGATCAAGACAGAGGAAAAAGGAAAACAAATATGGTAGTAACAAATTTCTTTCCAGATTATGCTGACATTATCTCTCATTAGCCAAACTTTTATCATATCTTCTAGAATGAACATTAATGCTTAATGTAGCTCTCTTAAAAGACCGATCATATTTGTAAACAAATTATCGTACAGTCAGTGAGTTGGTGGGCATAACACAATAGCTGACAAAAGAAACTGAAAACAACTGAATAAAATTATGAAACCAAGACTTTCTGAAAAAAAAATATATATATATTGATTAATAATTTGCTCTGCAGCAATGTTTGCATGGTTATCCTCCCTATACTGATTTTGATCAACTTTAAACCTTTTCAAAAGGAAGCAAAGTCTTAGGAGAAACAATCTTAAAAGATCTTTGTTTATCTTGAACACCATCTATCAAAGTCTTTCCTTGTTCTCAAACATTCTCTAATAATAAATTGATGCCTTTTAAAACAAATATCAATAAATATAAAATTTACTTGAATCTGATTAACTTCAGAATTGCACAAAATGTACTGTAATATCTTTGTGGTTCTCAGAATTTAATTTTTTTGCCCAGCATTCATGCCTAAACATTTTTGCACACTCCTTAGGACTGATAGAATCCTAAAGAGTAAAAAAAAAAAGAAAATATTGCTAGTAGTTCTGTAATCCTCGAGAACATCTTTTGTAAAGAAAAGTAAAAAATACCCATCTTCACACATTTCTTTGCTTACATTGTATGTAAACTGGGATGTAAATAAGAACTAATTAAAGTAGACTACCAGATTAGCTGCAATTTTGTTTACACTCAAAAGGAAAAATGTGCAGACCAATTTTACTTAAAATATCCATAGCATAACACTGGATTTATCACATTAGTTTCTTTTAATCAGTGAAGCAACCATCAACACTTATCACAGATAGAATCATCAGCACAGCCCTCGAATGTTATAGATAATAGTACAACTGTTCTCCAAAATGCTTTTGAAATCATAAAATAAAAGTTCAAATTCGAGAGTGAAACAAAGAATCTTATTATCTATCACATACACACAGTGCTATACAATGATAACCCTCCAGATGATGGAAACATTTTTAAACCATACCTGCAAAAACACACACTTCCTAATACTGAATATGGAAAAGCTATGGGCCTTCAAAGCACATTCTCCATAATACTTTCACCTTCACACAGGCCAGCATCAATGTACCACATATAATCATCATCCTCCGAAGATTACTTTTGCAAAAGAATAGCTAATTGAAGTCAACCAGACTTTAAAAATATATATATAAATATATATACAGATACTACCACAGAGACAAAAAGGGTATAATCTTTCAATGTACATGATTTGATGCTATGATGAAAGGGCTAAATGATAAAGATACACACACACCATGACATTTGGAAAACTGGAAAAAGACATTTGACTGAAGCTAAACTGGAAGAGCTTTTGAGACTGTGGTTTTGACCATGGATGAGCATATGCTAGAAAAGAATTTGAGTCCTGTCTGTCCTCCAGGTACATTACTTAGGACAAAACACAGTAATGCCACAACTTGGACTATTGCTGCTATCGATGTGAAAATGGTTGACTGCAGGCTGAGAGCAAAATAGAGAGTAGCAAAAAGGGACAAAAAGTACACTGATGTGAAGACTAGGCGTTCAGATGAAAATAGGTGCTTCAGGTGGTTTACTGGGCCCCACAAGAACGAAAAGCTGAAAAGAATTAAATAATGTTTAATGAGAGTGTTGCATAATTCTTTATTAGCAAAATGCCAAGACAATGTGCTCTTAATTCCACTGTAAGTGCTGCTGTACATTAGGAAATTAGATTTATAAAACATTTACAGTGGTAAAGAAAAGACTAAATTCTCAAAAATATGTCTGCACTATAACATTGTGTGCGTGCGTGCTTGTGCGTGTGCGTGACTTCATAACACAAATATGAAGTCAAAATGTAAAAGAAAGCAAAAGATGGACATGTAAATACATCCCAAGAGATTGCAAGATGGGATGACAGACAGCCAGACTGAGAAACAGACAGCTAAAATACAGATACAGTAAACACATACAAATGCCATACATCATATCCAAATTTCCCGACTTACCTAAGAACAGAAAACAGGCTTCCAAGGGTGAAAAGAAGGGCAAATTTACGTGCTTTAAATACAAGCAATGGGAAGTACATGGCTGCCAGTGAAAAGCAGATGAGGCCCATTGACACACATGCCAAGAAGCCTAGAATCCTCTGCTTGCGACCCTGAAACATAAATGGATACAGTAAACAAGTGGAAGATCTGTATATTATATATGTATATTTCATTTTCCCTTCATTCATGGATTCCTTGACACTTTGTTGCATATATATATTTCCTTTTCCAAAAATCACCAATACAAGCTTATGTGAAAAATAAACTGGGCAGAATAACATGGTATAACAATATGGTATGTTCCTGGAACCTGCATAAAAAAAAATTTTGTATACCTTTTTGTCCTTTTTTTATATATATAATTTTCAATAACCTTACACATCTCTCTGTATATACAAAACTTTAAAATTCCAAACATTAGCAAAAAAAAATAATAATAACAATAATAATCATCATCATCATCATCATCATCATCATCATCGTACTCATCCATCCACATCCAGAAACACAGAAACACAAAAACACAAACACTCCCACTGCAACAGTTTTCTCACTGAAAACAAAAACAAAAACACACACACGCATGCACACACATACATATATATATATATATACATACATACAGGTGTCTTATAGCTCTTATCAACTTTAATCTATAAAATGTGGAAAAGGAAGAGGTAAAAGAAATGTATATTGTAATTTTTTTTTTCCATATTTAGATACAACTGAGCTATATATTTTTCATCCTTCACAAAAAAATACAT